GGTAAAAGAAGAAATCGTAGACTTCGAGGGAAAAGAAATCATCTGCAATTTGTGTTTGATTTCGGCTTTCGGGTCCAATTGAAGAAGGTGATTCAGTAAGGGCAGAACTTCTGGCAACAGTTTTGAGGTCCAGAAAGCTAAAGAAATGGGAATTCTAAGGTTGATCATTGAAGGGGATTCTAAGATAGTGGTAGGGTGGTTGAAAAAAAAAAGGTAAGGGAGTGGTTTGGTAGATCAGAAATGAAATCAGACGCTTCAAGTGGCTCCCAAAAGATCTGGATATTCAGATAAGATGGGTAAGAGGATAGGCTAATTGTCTGGCTAAACAAGGAGCTCACAAACAACAAATGTATTGGGTGCAATTGTAATAGGGTGGTGGAGTGGTATTTACAACCTCTTGTTTTAACCTCCTTCCTTTTTAATCAATCAATGAAATATTTTGTGTTACTGATAAAAAAAAAGGATAAAAGAAGGCCATTACTCCATTACTCAATGTTGGTCCCAGTTATCCAGGGCATTGGGAGGGGTAGACTGGATATGGTCCTAACCTTTGGCATTTTCCTTTTTGATAAAGTGGTCACCCTCAGACTCAAACCCACATTCTCATGCTTGCCAGCTTGAGATTTTACCATTACACCAAGTAATGGCCCCTATATACTAAAGATAACTACTTGAAAAAACATATAATGATCAAGCTATCTACAGCCTCATTCTTTAACTCAGCTGATTATGGCTCTCTATAAAAGCAAATCTGAATACTAAAGAAAGAGGAGAATTAAAATCATCTATTGTCTGATTATTCAGTCCAATTGACTACAGTTTCCTTCCAAGTGTAAGATTCAAAAGATAATGCTATCTATGGTTGGACTATTTAATCTAGCTGATTATAGTCATTAAAGAAAAGAAATGAGAAGGAAACTTGTAACCCAAGAAGTGTTTGTATCAACTATCAATTGTTATATCTGTACAAAAAAGGGATATGATGTTGTAAAGTTTCAGGGTTGTATTTTGTAATTCTCATTACTGTACAATTTTGATATGAAAAGTGTAGGTGTTCAAGACTGCTATCAGTCTTGAGCACTAATAAATTTCAGGTTCGAAGATGAGAGAAAGTATAGAGGAAAGAGGAGAAAGAGTAGTGGGAGAGCAGTAGAACACAAACTTTGAAAGGAAGGACAGAATCTCAATTATTCTGCCGCCGCCACTTCTATTTAATATTTATAGGTTATGCTAGTTACATGAAAGGACACATCTGCCCTTGGTATTTACATAACACAGTAATATAAAACTGAAAAATAAATAACTAGAATAACAGCAGCTAACCCTAGGATGACTAGGTACATTCTACCCTACGGACAGAGTGGGACCACAACTGTGGGGCCCACATCATGTTCTCTACACTCCCCCTCAAGTTGGGAGTAAATGTTTATCATTCCCAACTTGGATAGATCCGCCTCTAGCTTCTTTCTTGATACGGCTTTAGTGAGGATATCTGCTAGTTGCATACTGGATGTGATATAAGGGAGGCATACTTCTTGAGATGAGACCCTCTCTCG